AAAATAATAATGATAATGAGAACAATAATATGAAAAAAAAGAAAAATAGGCGATGAAATATGGCATTTTTTGTATATATATTTTCTTCCCCATTCCCCCCCCCCCGTCAGAAGGTCTCCCCCCCCTTCCCCTCCGTAAGATTTTCTAGATAAGCCAAAGACGGAGGGAATAAAAAAATAAAAGATAAAAATATGGGGGGATGGAAAATAAAAGATAATGAAAATCGAGGAGTTTTTAAGAAGAATTAATGGCCAGTGGAGAAAATTAGAAAGAGGAAAGGAAGGAAATAAAGAATAAACATAATTATAGAAATAAAAATCGAAAAAAACAGAAGAGTGAGTGAGAGAGAGAGAGAGAGAGAGAGAGAGAGAGAGAGAGAGAGAGAGAGAGAGAGAGAGAGAGAGAGAGAGAGAGAGAGAGAGAAAGAAAGAGAGACAGAGACAAACAGAGAAAGAGAAACAAAGACAGACAGAGACACAAAAACAGACAGAAACAGAAACAGAGAGACAGAATGACACGAAGAAAAACAGAGAAAGAGAAAGAGAGAGAGAGAAGAAAAAAAGGTAAATAAAATGACCCACACGAGCCTAAGGTAGATTCCCCACGAGCGACAAATGACCAGCTGGTTTCGTCCGTCAGACACATCCCTTTCCCTTCGCCTAACAGTTGGCTGGCTAGTACCCCGTCACATAACTTCCCTCTTCCCCATCCTCCTCCTCTTTCTCTTCCTTCTCCTTCTTCGTTTTCTTCTTCCTCTTCTTCTTCTTCTTTTTCTTCTTCTCTTTCTCTTTCTTTTTCTTCTTCTTCTTCTTCTTCTTCTTCTTCTTCTTCTTCTTCTTCTTCTTCTTCTTCTTCTTCTTCTTCTTCTTCTTCTTTTCTCCTTCTTCTTCTTCTTCTTCTCTTTCTTCTTCTTCTTCTTCTTCTTCTTCTTCTCTTTCTTCTTCTTCTTCTTCTTCTTCTTCTTCTTCTTCTTCTTCTTCTTCTTCTTTTCTCCTTCTTCTTCTTCTTCTCTTTCTTCTTCTTCTTCTTCTTCTTCTTCTTCTTCTTCTTCTTCTTCTTCTTCTCCTCCTTCTTCTTCTTCTCCTCCTCCTCCTCCTCCTCCTCCTCCTCCTCCTCCTCCTCCTCCTCCTCCTCCTCCTCCTCCTCCTCCTCCTCCTCCTCCTCCTCCTCCTCCTTATCCTCCTCCTTCTTCTTCTTCTCTCTCTCCAACCCTCTTCCTTTCCCTTCCCTCCTTTTCTTCCGCCCACCTCTTCTTCTCCTTTGCCTCTCCCTTTCTCTCCTTCCCTCCCTACCCTCTTTCATCTTTCTCTTTTCCCCTTCCCTTCCTTTCCCTCCTCTTCTCCTTTCCCTTTTTTTCGCTCCCTCCCCTTCTCTCTCCCTCTCCTCTTTCCATCCTCCCTTGTCCCCTCTCTTTCTCTCCTTTTCCTACATATCCTTCCTTTCCTTCTTTCTTTATCCTTCTCCCTCTCACCTTTCCTTTTTCCTCTTCTTCTCCCCTTCCCATTCCCTCCTTCTACTCACTCTTTCTCTCCTTTTCTCCTTCCTCCATCCTTCCCCTTCTCTCTCCCTCTCACTCTCCATCCCCCTTCTTCTTCTTCTCCCTCTTCCTCCCCCCCTCCCTCCCCATCCCTCTCCTTCTTCCCCTCCCTCTCCCTCCTTCTCCCCCTCCCTCCCCATCTATCTCCCTCTCCCTCTTCCTCTTTCGCTCTCCCTCCATCCCCATCCTCCTCCTCCTCCCTCTTCCTCCCCATCCTTCTCCCCCTCTATCCCCTTCTTCTCCCTCCCATTCTTCCTCTCTATTCCTTCACTTTCCCCTCCTTCTTCCTCTCCTCCTCCTTCCCCTTCCCTCTCCCTCTCTATCCCCCTCCTTCTCCCTCCCTCCCCATCCTCCTCCCTCCTCATCCTCCTCCCTCTTCCTCCCCATCCTTCTCCCCCTCCATCCCCCTCCGTCTTCCTGCTCCTCCCTCTTCCTCCCCCTCCTTCTCCCTCCCCCCTCTTCCTCCCTCTCTCCCCCTCCACTTTCCCCTCAAAAGATAGCTCTATTAAGGGCGCACTGAAAGGGAAGGAGGCCGAGGGGTGTTTAACGTACACCTTGACTACACTTTATTGTTTTTCTCAACGCCTCTTTTCCCCTCTTCTGTTCTGTTTTCTCTCTTTGTTTTTTTTCTTCTCCTTCTTCTTCTTCTATTTCTTCTTCTTTTGTTTGTTTGTTTGTTTGTTTTGTTTTTCTCTTTGGTTTCTTTTTTTTTTCTTCTTCTTTTTTCTGATTTTCATTTTTTCTTTCTTTCTCTTTCTTATCTTTCCTCTTTCATTTCCTTCTCTATTCTTTTTCTTCTTTCCTAAACCCTCTCTCATTCATTTCTTTCTCTTTCTTCCTCATTCTCTTCCTCTCTTTCTCACACTTCTCTTCCTCCTTCATTTTTTATCTTCTCTCCCCCCTACCCCCTCGTATATCCCATCCTTTTCTCTTCTCATTTAACCCTTCTTACCCCTACCCCCC